AGATGGAATTTACATATTGTCGTCAAAAACTATGGGTCCGTACAAATATCAATTTACTAAAGTAAATCAGGCGTAACATATGATCCACAACCCGCAGAAATATTACAGAAATATTATAATATCACGTCTATATTTATAATAAATTTGATATTTTTATAAGTAGGTACTTTACGGGTTGAATTTAATTCTTCATTTCAATTTCCAAATGCATATTCAATTATTTTGCTACATACTTCAAAATATTAGATAGACAAAAATAATTATATTACAAATTACCTACATTGTCTTTTTCAAACAAAAGTTCTAGAAATGCTTCGACTTAATTTTTATTGTATAAACCAAAATTATAATTTCATACGTAAAATAACATTAAATATAATTATAATCTGAGATTGAAAAACCAGTTTGTATTTTTTTAAATAAAAGTACTATGATTTCGCAATTTATGTTATAAACGAAATAACTGATAAATATAAAGCGATAGATTTTATTAAGTAATCCTTTTAAAACGGAAATAAATAAATGAAATTCGATTAAACCAAAAATAAAAAATAGTATTTTATACCATTACCTATCGTACTCTTAATTAGTTTATGTTATATACATATATGTTCTTATTGAACTTGAATTCATATTGAAATATGAATTAGTAGTTTCGTAGAAGAACACTACTATGCAACTACTTTATATAAAAAATATATAAAGTAGTTGCACTTGGTACCTAATTTTTAAATCATGTCAAAAAATCGATAACAAAATCCATAAATTTCTATATTAGAATTCTATTTTAGTAAATACAAAATGTGAATCACTATACATATATTGAAGGAATAAAATAAAAGTTATACGAATGTAATAGAAATCTCTTTATTCATAAACGTTCTCTTCAACTTAAATTGCTTTCTTGTTGCTGCACTCATAGGTCAAGTATGGTAAACGGTTTTATTTTCTTTTTGGAAATGTATAATAATATTTTTTACGTATATTTTCATAATTATATATATATTTTATTATACGCGTATATATGTATATTAATATATATTTGTCTAAATATGGATTAGTTCATAATTAACAATATCCCGAAGGAAAAGCTTATATTTTTCCCAGAAAATACGATTTAATAATTTTATATTTTCGGCGTTTGAAGTCATTCTGAATCGTTTTAAATCAAATTTAGTAGAAGTATGACCTTACGAAATCGTTTTTTCATTTTATATGTATGCATTTATTCAAGATAGTTAATTTCGGTTTTGAAATACATGTATAAATTCTTTAAATAACAAATTAAACTAGTTGGTATTGGTATTTTACCTTGAGACAAGTTACATTAACTTCCCGATATGTGTAAATAATCGACTTAATCAATAAAATATAAATTAATTTATGAGTGATTAAAAGTATTCCGAGTGGATTTATTACACATAATTGAAAACGAACGAACACGTTAACTCGGAGTATTTTCTAAATGCAAATTTTCAAAAATCAACAATTTTTATAATTGAACTAGTTTCTATAGGAATTTAATGGATTAGTATGTTCATTAAGATCAAGTACACTATCGTTATACCAAGCAAATCGTCTAATTTTAACTTTAATAAACGTCAAAAAACTACTCATTTTCTCAAACTTTGATGAATTTTCAAAATTAAACTACTTGTCGTAAGGCCGTAATATTTCAGTAAGTTCTATAAGACCATGATATATCTAGCCAAAAAAAGTTCCATAAAAAACTGCTTAAATTTTTTTTCACCAGTTAATTACAAGAAAACGGCTCGGTAGATTTTCACCTAAAACTAATCAGTATCATTCCCAACTAATATCTTTCGAACAGTTTTTGATTTTTTTAAATCGGTTCGGTAGTATGAGCTTAAATATGGACAAAAAGTTTAACACTTTTTGACAAATTACAAAGAAACGGCTTGGCAGATCGTCGCACAAAACTGACAAACGATAGTCCTCACCGAAATACATCAAATGGCTTTTAAATTTCTAAAATCGGTTCAGGCGTTTTTGAGAAAACGTCGATCAAAAGTCTAATTTTGACAAATGCCAAAAGAACGATACTATTTTTTGCAAACTTTGACGAATTTTTAAAATTAAACGACTTGTCGTAAGGCCGTCATATTTTAGTATGATCTATAAGACTACGGTATTTACCGTCAAAAAAATTCTTAAAAATCGTCGAATTTTTTTTTAATACTTTATTACAAAAAAACGGCCCGGCCGATCTTTACCAAAAACTAATCAGCACGATTCCCAACTTTATCAATATCAATATCTTTCGAACGATTTTTGAATTTGAAAAGTCGATTCAGAAATGCGGGCTAAAACGTGGACAAAATGTTTTTCACTCTCCTGGTATTTAAGAAACGGCTTGGCCGATCGACGCGCAAAACTGACAAACAATAGTCCTCATCGAGATACATCGAATGGCTTTTAAATCTTTGAAATCGGTCCGACCGTTTTTCAGAAAACGTCGATTTACGGCAAAAAATCTGTTCACATACACACACATACATATTTTCCAAATTTGGTCTCATTCGATTCAGAATGGTTTGAAACGTCGAGAAAACATAAAATTAGCGAATCGGATTTTTTTATGAAAACATAAACTTCTCATTCGGGAAGTGCTTTTGCTTTTTGAATTGTATGTAAAATCTTTGAAAATTTTCTACACATACACACACACATACATATATACCTATATATATATATATATATATATATGTATATCCAATGTGTGTATGTGTGTATGTTTCGATTCGCGTTGCATTTGACCTGATTCTGGTGCAGTCGTCGTAGTCGAGTCGGGGCGCTTGTGCTAGGGCAGTAACGGGCCACGCCCCATTCGGAGCGAAATTGTGCCATGTAGACACAGATTGACCTAAAAAACTCACTCACTAAAACGATTTTACAAAAGGAGAACGACACATATATATATTTTAGAAAGGACTTAACGAGTTATCGATAATTCTATCTTATCATATTGAAAAATTCGTCGAGAAGAAGGAGATTCTTATATTTACTGCACACATCGCCGGTGTAATGCGAACTTATTAAATTTGGTTCAATAGCATTTTTGATATTAATAACGTAGAAATTTTATTAACTTCCCGTATGGTAGTTATAGTAATCTGCCAAAAATCAAAAATGAAAATTCTTGTATTTCTCGACGTTTTGATGGTTTCTGAACATTTTGGCATACTTCAGAAAAAACGGTTGTGTGTGTGTTTTTTGTATGTTCGCATTTTTCGTACACTTTTTAGGGCGCACAGATCAACCTTTTTTAGATGGTTCAAAAAACATTCGATTCCCATTGATAGGGAAATGTGCTGATTAGTTTTTGGCAAAGGCAGGTCCAGCCGTTTCGGAGATTCGGAGCAAAGAGTGCAGAAAATACAAATCGAGTTTTTGAGAGAACGGAGTGTCCGATTTGAATGAACTAAAAACCATTCGATTTGTAATGACAGGGAGAAGAAATGATTAGGTTTTGGCAAAAGCAGGTCCAGCCATTTAGAAGATACAGAGCTAAATGTGCAAAAAATAAAAGTTCTTGAGAAAACTAAGCGTCCGATTTGAATGATTCAAAGAACTTTCTGCATGTTTTAACAAAATAATTGCTTTTGGAAAAAACTTGTTTTAATTTTTTTCTCAATTTTTTTTTTGAATTTTTTTTGTATATCGAAAATAATTCAGATTTTAATTTTAATTCTGCGCCCAAAAACGTGGACAAAAAATTGTATCCATACATACATACACACCCATTTTTTCTAAGGTTTGACAAAATGTTCAGAAACCTTCAAAACATAATGATATGAGAAAATTTTCAATTACGATTTTTGGACAATTACAATAACTTACCCTATGGGAAGTTAATATTAAACGTGTATTATAATAAGAAAATCAATTTTTAAAGATAGTGACAAATTTGGGCACTTAAAACCCTCTATTGAGTGCGGAAAACACTAAATCAGGGTGAAGCACTTTTATTCTTTGTTTAACCCCATGCCCAAGTTTAGTTTATTTACTTTTGTATATAAAGTTCAAATTCGTATTTCGGACTATCTCATATCAAGCAGTAGTAATATCCGTTTTCGTGTGAAAATATGAAAAAAAAATCTGGCATTACTGTAATACGTTAAAATGTAAAATCTCTAGTATAAAATGGACAACCAGTGGGTTGCCTTTTGATAAAAAAAATAATCAAATAGATAGGACAACCATTAGGTTTTAATCTAATGTAAAATATATAAATTAGAAAGACCAACCAATGGGTTGTCATTTAGAAAGTCACTAGGGACCGATTCTGCCGCATAACAGAAAAATGTTATGACAAAGCTATGCTATGAAGAACTTTCCATACAAAATATTGAGAAAGCCATGTGGTTGGTTAGGCAGAAAACCTAACCTAGAAACCGCACAAATGCAAAAAATACGATGTTAGATAACAGGGTCTTTCTGACTCAGCTTCATAACATACGAGTGACGTTGCAGTTTATGTGTAAAATGCCTAAACGCACAGCAAATACATGACATTTTGACAGTATTCAGTATGATTCAGTAGCATAATGTATGTAAGTTGGAGCGAAACATGACCATGCCATAACATTTGTCTGTTATTAGTATAGGGAAAGTATCACAACAGATTACATAACTCTAATTAGTCCCGATTGCTGTGCAGAAACAATAAACAAGTCTTGATTTATATCAAACAAATAGTAGATGTTACTCCACATATGATATATAATATCCTTTTGCACTTAAAAATATAAATCCAACCCAAAATATGTCCCTATTTAAAAATTGTGCACCAGTGCAATATTACAATGCCTTGGAAAATTTCCCATGCCAACATTTTTGATTCGATATTGAGTATAACTCAATTTACCTCAATCAGGACGTCTTTATTTCAATTTTAAATTTTTATTAGACTTTACGACATGTTTAATTTTAGTTTCATTTAATTTTTCAATTCGATTGATTACATCTTTATTCAACTGATGATTTTTTTACAGGAGGCTCGCGGCAAGAGGCCCTTAAAACTATGGGATTGCTGGCGGAATGTTCGTAAAGGACTCGTGGTCGGCAGCTATGAGGAACTCATACTCAGAGGTAATAGAAATAAATAATAAATTATGCACACCACAAAATAAAACTATTTTATAATAGAAATAGTAAGAATAGTCCAGAATCACTTAGACATAACCGTTGTTTAAAATCATTACTTGTTCATACATAGATCTTAATACCATGATATTCACTAATATTTGCCATCGACTATTCAACTTGTCACTGTCCAATTTATGATATTATTCGACCGATTCTGCCGTATAACAGACCAATGTTATGGCAAGGGTATGTTATGAAGAACTTTCCATACAAAATTATTCTGAATATTGTCAAAAGCCAAGCAACCGCTTGATATGAGTTTTTTTTACTGTGCAGTCAGACGTTTTTCTCAAGTCGACAGATAGACAACCTAACGTAAAAACCGCACAAACGTCAAAAAATGATCTTAGATAACAGGGTCTTTCTGACCCAGCTTCATAACATACGAGTGACGTTGCAGTGTAAAGCATCTGAATGCACACCAAATACATGACATTTTAACAGTATTCAGTATGGAAGTTGGAGCGTAACATGGCCTTGCCATAACATTGGTCCGTTGTGCAGTAGAATCGGTCCATAAATTACGATTTTCTTGTTGTTTAATTATTATATTTATTGTCTTTTTCCATTAGGCAAAGATAAGTTAGGAGTCGGAGCAAACGAGCCCGTTCGCCTGGTGTTGGAATGTGACGGCACCCAGATCGAAGATGGAGAATACTTCCGGACTTTAGCCAATAACAGCGTGTTGCTATTGCTGAGACAAGGCGAGAGATGGTTCCCTTCGGGGGCTGATGTCATCAAAGCTGGTCAGTAAAAAAAAAAAAACTAGTGGTGTATCGCATCGTGCCTTAAAGCAAATTGCTGGAACTTCCCGTACCGAAATTAAATATTCGAGACATTTTAAACGTTTTCAAATATATTATTACAAATACTGTGACTTTCATTATTTTTGCTAACTCGTTATATCTGAGCAAATCAAATGTAAATCATAAATCAATTTATCTCCAGAACATTAATAACAATCGTCATTTCATTTCGAATTCAATTTCAAACAAAAAAATAGTTGCCTAATTTACACAAAATTGAAAAAGTGCTGTATAGTAACAGTCTAAACGCATTTGCGAATAATTCTGTGCGACATTATTACTTATACTGTGCTTGGCTTGTCGGCATTTTCACATTTTTCAACAGTTTTCACAAAATTGGAAAAGTGCTCCAAACATAAACAGTTTAAACGCACTTGGGTAAACATTTGTACCAGAGTGGCGCTTAGACTGTGCTTAGCCTGGATAATTTTTTGAATTTTTAATCCAAAATTACAAAAATATTTTATGGAAAATAAAAAGAAATGTAATAATTTTTTATCCTCAAAAGCAATTGTTTTGTCAATACAAGCAGAAAGTTTTTTAGATCATTCAAATCGGACGCTTAGTTCACTCAAAAACTGCAATTTTTTGTACATTTAGCTCTATATCTTCGAAGTGGCGGGACCTGTCTTTGCCAAAAACTAATCACCTCTTCTCCCAATCAATACAAATTGAATGTTTTTAGATCATTCAAATCCGATAATCCGTTCTCCCAAAAAACTCGATTTCTATTTTCTGCACTCGTTGCACTTCATCTCCGTAACTGCTGGACCTGCCTTTGCCAAAAACTAATCAGCACATCTCCCAATCAATAGGGATCGAATGTTTTTTAAACCATTCAAATCGGTTGATCCGTGCGCCCAAAAACGTGGACGATAAAATGCGGACATACAAAACACACACACACACATCCATTTGTTCTGAGGTATGCCAAAATGTTCAGAAACCTTCAAAACGTCGAGAAATGCAAAAATTTTCATTTTCGATTTTCGACGCTTTACTATAACTACCCTACAGGAAGTTAAAAAAAAAACATTTTTGCACACTGTAAAAAAAAATGGCACACGCGTGCCAATGTGTTTCTATAATATATCCTTTACTCGTAATGTATTTTTTTTATTGTTTCCACAGCAATCAGAACTCTTTATTACTGTTCTATAAGCTGTTTTTGTGTATGACTAAGGTATTGATATGACAAGCAACCCATCGGTTCATCATTCTCCTTCCTATGTGTGGGGTTTTTATATATTAGCACTTACGTCTAATATTGTGCATATGATTGTATGCAACTATGTCCACGAAGGACGATTTCCACTTGGAATTATATTGTGATCTATAACCCAAAGTGGAAATTTGACAATGGTAATGATTATGCATTCCAAATATTTTTTTATTCCTTTAGCGATCTCTGCGATTCCTAAGATCGTGTGCGAGACAATCCACGCCTTGGAGTTGCAGGATGAGACTCCGTCCTGGAAGATCATGGACAACAAGGGTCGCGTCACCGTGGTTTTGCACTGGGATCAGAGGCATGGACAGAGTCTGGCTGGTACCAGCTCGTCGCACCAGCAATCGGGATCATCAGCAGGTAGTAATAAACGACATATTTCATTACGATACTTTTTGGCATTCTTTGAGAGTTTTTGTGTCCTTTATTCAGGTCAAACCCTTGCCCAGTCGGGTCCGATCTCGGCAAGTAGTAAGTTCTCTCCGAGTAAAAAGCCACCTTCGGCGCCTCGATATCCAGTCAGTCCTCAGATAACGGTGATCAACCACGATGATGCCCTTCAAGCGAGAATGCTGTCGGGGGGCTCCAGGCGCCTCTCGGGCTCTCGGGCGAGCAGTTTTGATGGGGCGGCGGTGCACGTACACACACCAGAATGTATTCAGAGGTAAGTAGTAAAAAACAGAGCAAATTGAATTTGATAATATAATTTTGAAATTTTAACAATATTGTCCAGCAATCATTGGTCAGAACAGAAATTTTCTATTCTGTTGTAAAAGTCAGTTTGAACGTTTTTATATAGCAAATAATTCAGGACGTTATTAACTTCGCGAAAGAGAAGTTTGTTTTCATAAAAAAATTCGATTCGCCAGTTTTATGTTTTCTCGACGTTTCAAGCCAATGAGACCAAATTTAGACTAGTCGGTATTGGTATTTTGCCTCGAGGCAAGTTACATGAACTTCCCGAAATGTGTCAATAATCGACCTAATCAATAAAAAATAAATTACTTTATGAGTGATTAAAAGTATTCCGAGTGGATTTATTACACATAATTGAAAATGAACGAATACTTTAACTCGGAGTATCTTTTAGAAGTAAATTTTCAAAAATCAATAATTTTTATAATTGAACCAGTTTCCGTAGGACTTTAATGGTTTAGTATGTTCATTAAGATCAAGTATTATATAGTTATACCAAGTAAATTGTCTAATTTTAATTTCAACAAACGTCAAAAAAACTACTCCATTTCCAAAATACAAAAAAACGGCTCGGCCGATCGTCGCACGAAACGCTAGTCCTCATCGAGATATACATCGAATGGCTTTTAAATTTTTGAAATTTATCTAGCCGTTTTTGAGAAAACGTCGATTTACGGCAAAAAGTCTATTCGCAGACACACACACATATACACATAATCTTTCCAAATCTGGTGTCATTCGATTCAGAATGGCTTGAAACATCGAGAAAACATAAAATCAGCTAATCGAATTTTTTGATGAAAACAAACTTCTCCTTCGAAAAGATTTTTTACCTTAAATCGACATTTTTTCTCAAAAACTTCTGGACCGATTTCAAAAATTTAAAAGCCATTTGATGTATCTCAATGAGGACTATCGTTTGTCAGTTTTCGTGACGATCGGCCAAGCCGTTTCTATGTAAATAGAAAAGTGAAAAAATTTGCATCTACGTTTAAGCAAAATATATTGGTTGAGAATTGATATGATTAGTTTTTGGATAGCGATCCTTCTCACGCCGTCAATTAATATATAACTGTAACAAATGTAGCTGAATGTACTTTGTATAGCTTGCTATGAATAATAAATAAAAAAAAAAAAAAAAAAAAAAAATTAGTTTTTGGTAAAAATTCGCTGGCAAAATTTCTTGTAATAAACTGTAGAAAAAAAAATCGTCAATTTTTACGTTTTTTTTTACTACCATGGTCTTATACTAAAATATTGCGCCCCTACGATAAGTCGTTCAATTTTCAAAATTCGTCAAAGTTTGCAAAATTTAGTATCGTTTTTTTTTGGCATTTGTCAAAATTAGAACTTTCATCGACGTTTGCTTGACAACGCCTGAATTGATTTCAAAAATTTAAAAATCACTCAATGTGTCTGAATTGTGCGACGATCGGCCGAGTCGTATCTTTGTGATTTGCTTAAAAGTGTAAAACCAGTCCACGTTTTAGCTCACAATCCTGAATCGATTTTAAAAAATCAAAAACTGTTCGAAAGATATTGATTATGAATGATACTAATTAATTTTAGGTAAAAATCTACCGAGCCGTTTTCTTGTAATTAACTGTTAAAAAAAAATCAAGCCAATTTTTATGGAACTTATTTTGGCTAAATATTTCATGGTGTTATAGAACTTACTGAAATATTACGGCTTTACGACAAGTAGGTTGATTTTAAAAATTCATCAAAGTTTGAGAAAATGAGTAGTTTTTTTGACGTTTGTTAAAATTAAAATTAGACGATTTACTTGGTATAACGATAGAGTAGTTGATCCTAATGAACATACTAAACCAATAAAGTCCTACAGAAACTGGTATAACTATAAAAATTATTGATTTGTGAAAATTTGCTTTTAGAAAATACTCCTAGTTAAAACGTTCGTTCGTTTTCAATAATGTGTAATGAATCCACTCGGAATGCTTTTAATCACTCATAAATTAATTTATGCTTCATTAATTAAGTCGACTATTTATACATATGGGAAAGTTCATGAAACTTGCCTCAAATCAAAATACCACTTTCAACTGGTTTCGTTGGATCTTTATCCAATGTATTTGTATTTCTTTTACATTTCCCAGACCTTCCCGAACAAGTCCGACGCCCGAGGGTGCAAATGGCCCCATCGAATGCGATTTCCATTGCTGCGCCCTTCACGAAGAAGGCAGGAAGATCGCGGTGCACAAATCGGTGGCCACTTCCCCAATACAAGATGCCCAGCAGCAGACGTCTCCGCAGCCGCCGAGCTCCCTCTCGGACGGAACGAAAAGGGCGGGCCTGGCGAAGGGACATGTTCGATTTTTGGATATTGAAGGTAAGACTAATTTAAACTAGTGGTGCATGGCATCGTGCCTTAAGGTAAATTGCTGGAACTTCCCGTACCCTGACTAAACATTCGAATTCGAAAAATGAAAATAATTTCAAATAGATTATTTATTATAAATACATACTGTATATTTATAGGTGCTTCTTAAATTGGGCGACGAGCGTATTCTACGAGCAACTTATGTGTATGTTCACAAGAAATTTGTTCTTTTTTTTTCAATATCAATTTTGATAATTTTGAATTTTTTTCAAAATTTAGAAAATTTTTGAAAGTTCGAATATTTTTGGAACTTTTTTAAAAAAAAACGTGCCTTTAAATTTTTTGGGTATTTTTTTGAGAATTTCGATATATTTCAAAATTTTGCAAGAAATCCATATTTTTTAAATTTTTACATTTTTTTGAATTTTTCAAAATTAAGATTTTTTTTGAAAACTGAATTTTTTTTTTGAAAATTTTCGAGATTACGAAATTTTTGCTAAATGCATTTTTTGCACACAAGCAAAAGGTTTTTTGAATTAATCTAATCAGTTGAACCGTGTTCCCAAAATCGTCAACAAAAATTTGTATCCGCACACACACATGCGCGCACACATCCGTTTTATCTATGCCAAAATGTTCAGAAACGTCTGAAATGTAAAGATATATAAAAATTTTTAGTTTCATTGGTTCATCATAGTTTGCTTATACGGTTCAAACAAATTTCAAAATTTTTAGAAAAAAAATTTCAACATTTTCAAAAATATACAAAGTTTTATACTTCAAATATAAATTTTAAACTTACAATTCTGTTTAAAAATGTATATATTTCAAATGCGTTATTCTAATCGTAAGAAATATATCTTCATATGGATTCATTCGGCATCTCTTGTTAATGTAAACATTTTTAAGTGGTTTGAGTGATAAGATCATCAGTGTATATTATAAGAACAAACGCATATAAAGTAATTATAATTATCTTTTTGAAAATATTTAAAACATTTGTTATTAATCATCATACCCGGAAAACGTTGTTTTACCTTTTAAGGTATTTCTAAACAATTTCTAGAGAATTCAAAAATTGGCATTTTAAATATTTCAAAAGAAAAGCTTTTAACTATAGTGCAGTAAACGGAGCGTTTTAGGTCTGAATTTTTTTACAGTGCTCCGAATTTCATGAAATTTTGGAATTAGGTTCATCTTACTCTCAAATTCAAAAGTGAAAACAATTCGGGTTGCGCCATTACCATACGGGGGATGACACCCCTTCTCAATTCTGTAATTTATTTTTTTTCAAAATAACGTCAGAAATCAATAGAAGAACTAATAAGAAAAAATGTCTTTTATAGTTTTTCAAAAAACTAATACTTTTCAAGTTACTGGCCACTAAAGATTCATATATTTTTGGCGTTTTTCTTCGTTTATTTGCAAATATCTCCTAAAATATACATTTTAACGAGTATCATGTAATGAGCAAAATAATGTCAATAAAAATCTTAATAAATCGGTATTACATAAAGTGTTCTAGGAAAAATATTAAGCAAGATTTGAAAGAGCAAATTCGTTTTTTATTTCGTTCAAGATTTAACTGTTGTATTTAAAGCCATCTAGTGGCGAGGTTTTACATTTTATGCATTTTGGTAACATTGGGTTTCATAGTGCTCAACATAAGCTTTAAAATGAGTGCTGTTACAATTTTTTTGCGAGTAAAATGAGTGAGCTATCATGCAAATAAGAAGCATATACGAAGTTTTTTTCTTTTGAATCATATGGTTTAATGAGCGCCATTTCCACCAGAATTAAAGTAATTCACATTCCATCTAGAATTCACTTCATTATAGACATCTTGTTGGATTCTAACAGATTCACTACTTTAGTACAAACTATTTACAGAAAACTCACGATTTTATAAAAACTTTTTTTCTTTCTGAAACTTGTGGTGCCAAATAACATAATATGCCAAAGCTAAAAATGATTTTTAGTATTTATTTATACAATTGGGTGCCAAAACAAAAATAATCAATCCAAAAATGTTAAGGTGAAGGTAAAAAAAAATTAACCCTGACATTTTTCCCTTCAGGTTCCAGAGCTCCGACGGATCGAGACAGTTCAGAAAGCGAAACAGAAAACACGGTCATGGAAGACGAGGCGGTCACCTCCGAAAAATTCCTTCTACTAATCGATCAGCTCAGCGTCGACCAAAAGCGTCATTTGAGTATCAAAGACATCGGCATCATTTTGGAGAGACTTAGCTCTAAAATTTTGGACGTTGAACGTCTTGACAGGGAAAGCGAAAGCGACGATTGTTACAATTGGACGATAAAGGCTACGATACGAGGCGATGTCCTTCGAGAATTAGGGGTGATTTATAATGGAAATTATTATGCGATATCGGAGCACCCTGGATATAAGGAAGAAAGCGAAGAAAACGCTGAAGACGTCGAAGAGGAAGAGGAGGAAGAAGACAGGTTGTAAATTTTTTAATGGCTAAAAAGCATAGGATTTATCTAAATGCCAAACAGAAGGATTTCTGGATCCATTATCCATTACAGAAATTGAAGTCTATTACAAGGTGCCAAAAATTGGAACAATCTTTATGTTGGAGGCTATGATGTTTCCAAAAGATGGAAAAATTAATACAGTTCGAAAGGCGCCTAAAATAGATAGTATTTGGCAATCCATAGAACTACTAGAAACAATTGAAAATATAATAATTTAGTAAAATAGAAGCTGCAACGACAAAAATTCTAGTTAAACGCACACTAATGCTAAGAGAAAATTCTGTTTATTGTTAGGTGCACAAAATACATGATGTGCCCAACGCAGCTTCGAAATAAAAATAAATATAAAATAATAACTATAAAATAAAAATACGTCAAAAAAGTATTTTGGCGTTATCGAATTTGGCAAACCTAGACAGGTATATATAGGGTCCGCCAAATAACTTTTTTTTTGAAAATTCTATAAAAAACTACTGATTTTTTTTAATTTGAAATAATAGTTTTGGTTTATAAGAGAAATGCAAATGGCAGCCTAACTTTTAAATGCTTGCCAAAAAATCAAAATGGCAGCCTAACTTTTAAATGCTTGCCAAAAAATCAAAATGGATGCCAAAAAAACAAGATGGATGCTAAAGATTCAAAATGGCTGCAAAAGTTAGATGGCGGACCCTTTATAGAAAACTAACAAAAACCGGTTTTAAATTAATATCAACCAAGGATATGTTGAATTTTGCCTGTACCAGATTTAAATAAAAATATAGAAATATGATTCAGAAGTGGGATAAAAATATTTACAATATCGTGCGAAAATAATATTTGCCAAATTTGCCAAAAATTTTAAAAAAACTCATGGTGCCAAATAAAATATTCCAAAGATTTATACGTGTATATATATATATATATATATATATATATACGTATATATATATATATATATATATATATATAAACCAACAAAAACTGGTTTTAAATTAATATCAACCATGGATATGTTGAATTCTGCCTGTACCAGTAAGTTAAATAATTTAATGATTCAGAAGTGGGATAAAAATATTCACAATATCGTGCCAAAATAATATTTGCCAAATTTGCCAAAATTTAAAAAAAAAACTCATGGTGCCAAATAAGATATGCCAAAGATTTTCATCATTTGGGTGGCAAAACTGAAATAATCAATCCAAAAATGTGTTTTCATAAAATACATGATGTGCCCAAAGCTGCGTCGGAATATAAATAAATATAAAATAAAAATACGTCAAAAAAGTATTTCGACGTTATCGAAATTGGCAAAACTGGACATGTGTGTATATAAAAAACCAACACAAACTGGTTTTAAATTAATATCAACCATGGATATGTTGAATTCTGCCTGTACCAAAAAGTTAAGATTTAAATAAAAATATGATTCAGAAGTGGGATAAAAATATTCACCGTGCCAAAATAATATTTTCCAAATTAAAAAAAAACTCATGGTGCCAAATGATATTAACATGCCAAAGCTAAAAATGATTTTTATCATTTATAATCAATACAAAAATGTGTTTTCCAAACAAACAATTAAATTATCGGTGAAAGTGTTCATTGTGTGAACGATTTACAACAAAAAAAAATTCATCAAATTTTAATAATAATAATAACAATGTTATTCGGTGTTATAGACTTCGTACTTGTGAAAAAAAAACAAATTGTGTGAATGACGTGACGTGAAATTTTTAGTGCATTAAATTTGAACAATATAAATAATATTAAATGACTTAGAGAATAAAATAGCGAATTGTGAACGAAATTATTAAATTATTCGGAATGTTTGTGTGCAGAAAATAAATAGTCACTAGAAAAATTGAATTTACTCCAGTTTGCATTTATGTCAAAAAATTGCAATCAATAAGCTCGATTTGTCTGTAAAAGTATAAAAAGATCGCAAACACGGCCATTTTGCTATTACTTCGATTTTAATTATTTCCGCTCTCCATAGAGGTCGCCACTAACTGTAGCACGTAAATTTACCATTGGGTTCGTTTCTAGATAACATATACATACAAATATAATATAGAAAAGATAAACCTGATTAATTTGATTGAATAAAATGAGAACAAAATATCCGCGTATAAAATATTTTCAAAAATGTTTGTACAAAAATTATAATAAAAATATATATGTTTCATAGTAAGAAAATCAGTACTTTAAATGGAGTGATGTTGGGCACAGGAGACCCTCTGTTGAGTGCGGAAAACACTAAAACAAAGCAAATTTGTTCTGTTACAATTAATTTTTTCTGTAAAAATTTAGACAAATAAAAATTGTTTGATAAAACTGCAGACTGGTTGAGAATTGCATTTAGTAAAAAAACTTACTAAATATTTAAAAAATTAACAAATTATTCTTAAACATCGTCATTTTTTTAAAACAAAAATAAACGAGCATATTTCGAAAAGTATACAATTATCTTTATACTTTTAAAAATATTGTTAATTTTTCTGCCCCAAACATTCATGAAAAAGTTCAACTTATGAAATTCGAAAAATGCTGATCAGAAAAACACTTTCATAATATGAAATTGCGAAAAATGAACCTTAAAAAGGAATTTATGGCCCTTTGATACATTTTTAGGTGGAAAAAAAATCAGCAGAAATTACAAACATTTTCTTAAATATAATTCTTAATTAAAATTATATGAATCAATTTTCTGATTTTTTGATATAAACAAAGTATTTCCTTACAAAATTTGAAAGTGTTCTTCTGTCCTTCATATGTCGAACTCACAGTAAAAATAAAAGATAGCCAAATTTTTCAATGTTCAAAAAATAGATACATACATACTATATGAATATAAACATATAAAATTTAATTTTTACACCAAATTATTCAATTGATTGGAATATCTTTCATCTTCTTATAGATACATGTATATTATTTTCGCGACTAGATTTAAATACATTAGTGAAATTGTATATCAATAAATTGATATTATTAACAAAAAATCGTAAACGTTATAAGATCTTAATAAACTGCCATATGTATATTCTATATTATCCAAATAGTGCCATTTACATAAAAACGCGATAAATCGAAATGTGCATTATTAATATTATTTTTTAATTTAAAAACTTGCGTTATCAGCCATAAAATTATTTTCCTTCATTCAACATCAAATAACAATTTGAAAATCCATTAATATTTTCGTACTGTGTGTATTTCATACAAACAAAATCGATAAACTAAACTGATAAACGGTTTTCAATAGTCGAAAAATTACTAATAATAAGAATAATAACCGATATTAATATAGTCGTAGTGATAACAAACGATTCCTGACACAAAACAGCCAAAAAATCATAATGAAACGATAATTTGTGCAGAATTCGATGGAAATGATTTAAAATAAAAAATAAATAAAATAAATGTCAATGAATTTACAAAATAAAAAGTCTTTATTAATATATCTGTTAATGGTTGCAACTTGGGTTTACACAAATAACCAACATTTTGAAAAACCGGTTTTCAAATAGTATTTTCCACCGAAAAACCGGTACAACCGGTTTCGAGTTTTTATATAAAAAAATTATCATCTCGGATAATTCGAGCAACTAGTGGTGCAAGGCATCATGCCGTAAGGCAAATTTCTGGATCTTCCCGTACCAAAAATTAATATTTATAAAAAAAATACATTTTTTTAAACTTTGAAAAAATTACATTTTTGAGAATTTTGAAATTTTCGAAAATTTGACTTTTTTGAACAATTTGATTTGTTTACTAGATGCGCAATTTATATTTTAAAATTTCGCCTATAGTTTTATTATTTTACAAATATTTTTTTTGAACTCCCTTAACCAATAAAATCTGAAATACAACAACGGTCTAAAAAATTTCTGACATGTAGACCTTTTTAAATAAAATAATAATTTAAAAAATATACGGAAAATCATTCTATGAATTGTAAATTTTCCAGACTATTCTCGTATTTTGATTAATTTTAAAATTAATACATTTTTATTAAGACAAATATTTTTTCTTCTAAACCAATTCCATCGAATTCTACACTCCATCATCCCTTATAAGTAATTATAAGTAATGTAATAAAAACCCAATATTATAAAATAATCGGAAAACTGTTGAAATAAAATTAAAGAAAATATATAAATAATAGAAAATTATAATTTATATCATTATGTTAAAAATGGACTTTCACTTTTGAGCTTTTTTTTTATTAAGTTTTTATTAACACCGTTTTTTTGGTACTGAATATAATGGCTGGCATCAGTATATATATATATATATATATAAATATATAAATACATATATATATATATATATATATATATATATAATAGATAAATCCTGGATTTTTCAATAAATTGATGAATGTTTCATTTCCGTACAATTGATCCAATAAATAACTAAATTATAACAGTTTTTTTGTAAATGCTTAAATACGTTTCGAAAATAGATACGTTTCATCATCAGGTAAAGTGAAGTCAAAACATTCAAATATTTTTTTACAAATAATTTTGTCAAAAAATGAGTCAATCAGTATTGAAGGTAAATAATTTTTTGTTTCTCAATTTATAACATTTTTCCACAAGGTACATAGTTCATTTCAATATAAGTGTTTTATTATTATGTAATCATCATCATGAACATTGTTATTTCATAAGAAAAATGATCCTGATGATGGAACGTATCTAGTTCCGAAATGTCATAATTAAACGTGTACAAAAAAACCACAAATGTTTATTTATTTATTGTATTGATTGTTCGAAAAAGAAACATATATATATATATATATATATATATATATACATATATAAAATAATAAGCAGCCCATTTTTCCGAATAAAAGAGTTAAAAAAAAACATTTTTAAATAATCATACGTTTCGACACTTGATGTGTGTCATCAATCAGACACTAAAATAAGTTGAAAAATTTTTTTTTATTTTATTTTAAATAAAAAAAATGAATTAGGCAACTCTTCTGCTTAGC